CAAAGGCAATGAAATTAAAATTACTAGAATTATCATGGAGACATCCATGGAGAGGAAAGAAAGTGTGAATTAACAACTCATGCATACTACTACAAAAAACTATAAAAAGAGAAAGTTCTTCCTTCCTCTTACTTGCTTTCAACCAATTATAAAATTAGCTGGGAATAAGAACTTGCTGTTCTTTGCAGCAATTTTTATCACCTCTGCATAAAACTGAAGACTAGATCAACTTCTAAACTCAACACACCTATTGCAAAGGAAGGGAGGTTCAGTTCAGCTGTATTGGCTACTCTGTGTATTGAAGAACTTTCTTCTAACTAATTTAATTTCTAACAGAACAGTTTCTTTATCTTCCAGTAGTTATAAAAACATGCCCAAAACTGCTATATATGAAGACGACATATTCATGTGTGCGCATTTGTGTATCTGTAACATGTTATTTAAAATTCTTCTCCACATAAAATAATCTTCAGAGGCACAGTTCAAATTTGTAAGAAGTAGTCATCAAACAAATACAAGACAGCTATCATAAAAAGCAGAGAAACCGGTGTAAGTAAGAGGGCTGCATCTCTCAGTGTTTATAAACCCTGACCAATTCAGAATGCAGTTAATTTCCTTCTGGCACAGCTACATTACTCACATGCATGAAGTCCATGCCAAAACGCACCCATAAAATTACAACTATCCAGTCTAATATAGCAACCAGCAAGGCAAGAATAGCGCTAGACTGTCTGTTCATTCCGTATCTTAAACAAGACAATCACCTAAAAGGCCCAGAAAAAAAATTCTTCTAAAAAGCAAATTTTATACATGCATTCACACAGACACACATTGATGCTAACTTTTGTTTTCACTTTCAGTTCTCATCAGAGATGGTTTATGGAAAGCTGTGTCATAGGAATTCATGTGTGCCAGCAATAATTTAGAAAAAAAGAAAAGAGGGAAAAAAAAAGGGAAAAAAAAAACACGAGAGGAGAATATTAAAAAAAAAAAACAAAAACAGCATCACCACACACACACACCCTGGGCTGGCTAAATCAATTCCAGGAGTAAAAAAGAAATCAATACATGTATTTTCTCCAAGAATATAAAAGAAGACTTAAATCTCAAGGCACAAAGAAATAGAGTTCATAATTTCAGGAGCACCACGCCAACATAATCTTCTACACCAACTATTATATACAAGAAAGATCTCAGAGTTCTCAGAACCAACCACCTTCATTTATCAAGTTCCAAAGAACTATAAACATTTACTAGACTAGTCAAGACATCCATCTTGATAGATTTCTTACAGTATGCCATCTTCTTTTAGAGAAACCGTAAGAGTGAATGTAGATAGAAAAGTCATAAAATTTTTAATCACTGAAAGGGGGAGATGTATGTGCTTACAGAGGAAAACTTTTTCTTTTCTGTTCCTACGCTGACCTGAACATACCAAGTTAACCACACACGCTCCCAAAACCTCAATGCTTCTGGTCAAATATGCTTATTTATCTATATTTAGTAAACATTTACTTACCCAGCATCCTCCTGGAAGCCTTCCAATTCGTCTCTTTGTTCTGCTAGGGTCGATTCTAGATCCAGATAGGTACCGTTGTGAGACAATTGCAGGGTGCAGTCATCAAGCTGTAGAACAACATTCAGATCATTAGATTACAGCAGTCATTCTCTCTAACGTGCCTGTAACATCGCCTTCCCATTTTCCAGGTCCCCAGACAAGATCTCCCTGAAACAAACCATATGTAGGGACTGGATAAGAAAATGGGTGCTGTTCAGCAATTTATGCAATCCCAAGTCTGTATTCACTAGACCATGCTTGGTCACAACAATATCAACACAACCAATGCAGAGAAATTTATTTATTTGAACATACAGAAGGAGATTAGAGGGTTTGAGCACAGTGTCTTTAGAATCCTATAAGGAAAGAGAAGTTGATTTAAATGTATATTTAGGATATGAATGACTGTCCTCTGTTCTTATAGTACATTTAAGTAGAGTTTCCGGGCCTCTGGATGGAGGTGGAAGGAAGCAGCAGCTCTTTCATGAGCTACTGAACAACCCCCTGTGAGGAAGGATACAGCCAAGGGACAGTGCAAGGTGCGGCAGCCAACAGTTGGGGTCCCGCAGCGAGGGGGAGTGCAGTCAACCAAGACCCAGATTTTCCGGCATTCTCATTTTAGGGCCAGGCACTAACCTGCCTCAGAGGTTGCAGGGAAGACCTTCCTAGGCACCAGGGGAGAGGACTGGACACACATACCAACTTCCTACAAAGGTACTGAGGTAACCTAGAACCAGACCTGAAAGCAGAAACCTGCCTGCAATGACACTGAAGAAGGAGAGAGCAATTAATAAACCCTCTTTTTTTTCCCCATCCTGTCTTCCCTCATCTTCAAATTTTCCATTAACTGTTCCAGCTGTTGTTAAAAAAGAAAGCTAGATTTGATCAAAGTTAGAAAAGGAGTTTTCTGGGTTTTTTTAACGGGGAGATCATCACAGAAGAAGGTCTAGGAAGATCCACCCCAAAACTCTGGCTAACTCATTGCACAGGAATACAAAATAATTACTGGATTGAGAGGGGTAACTGAAGAAGCCCGAGGGAAGGGCTAGGAAGTAACGTGAGCTTCTCTCTCACCATGAGATAATCCAGTGTCAAATCACAAGGAATGAGGAAAAAAGCTTTCCCAGGGAAACAAGAAAACACTTACTAAAGGGCAGGCGAAAGTACAGAAAGTACAGTGTCCTACCTCACCACTATGGAGTTACCATCCGCCTTAGACAGCCTGGAGAACCCAGTCCAGTAGCAGAGAAACTGCCATCACTGAGCCCAGCTGGACAGGCTGCTGTGGACTTTCATGTGTCAACACCACACGGGGGGGCCTTTTGCAGGCGGTTCCAAGTTCACAAATGCTGTAAGCCTCAGGTGTGTGGTGCTACTAGGTACAAAATCCAGTCTGATAGCGAGTTTCAGACTGGCCTGCCAAACAGAAGATGTTTCATTCCTCTGGATTTGGCAAAACAAACTTTCAGATCCTTTGCATGCCTCTCTACCAAAAAGCAACCGTGACGATGGTGGTGTAAATGTACATCCCTGCTGCAAAGGCCACTTTGGGAAAAGAATATTTAACACGAAATCAGTCTTCGGCCACAGGTGGCAGCCAACAACTCTTCGAAGGGGTAAGCAAGGGTCTGAAATAGCCAGTGACTCAAGGAAAGGAAATTACAAGCCTTTATCACATCCATGGATTTTTCCTTCTGCTCTTTTCAACACTAGGAAAGAAAATCAGTAAGAATCCCTCTTTGATGAATTACCTGTTTTAACTTCCCATCAAAGTTATGGATTCCCAGTAAACGTTCAGGAAAGAATAATAAGCAGCCACACTTCTTATCTTGCAGTCAATACCAAAACTTAGTCACCCAGTTTCCTATTAGTGATTTATATATGCAAGAAAAGAATACAAATAGTCTTTGATTATTCTGGATTAGCTGCATTGGAAATACTGCAGAAGGGCTCATTTATAATTAGCAAGTGATAGAGAATGACTTTTGGGTTAGTCCACACCACTATGCTTTGCACTGTCTGTAATCTGAAAGAGTAGCTCATCCTCTGGAGAAAGGGAAAGGGTAGATGGAGGAGGTCAAGCTGTATTTCAAACCTGTTCCATTTTTTTCTTTCCTTTTT